CCCCCCCCTCCCTGCCCTCCTGTTGCTTTCCGGCAGCGCGGCTGGAAGTGCGACGTTTTCACGATGTCACGTGGGGTGGGGCGGTGTCGCTTCGCGGCAGCGGCCTGTGAGGCGAGCGGAGCAGGGGGTGCTGCCACCATGAAGCAGAAGAGGAAAGGTAGCGGCGTGTGGGGTGGTGGCAGTGCCCGGGGCTGGCGGCAGGGTGGGCTCTGCCCCTCTTTCCGGAGCTGAGAGCAGTGGGGCGGGGAGTTGCTGCCCGTGTGTGTAAGGGCGGGCTGAGGGGCAACGCTTTACCTTGTGGTTGGGCATGGCGGGGGGGGGCTGTGGGACGGGGCCACTCCTCATGCTTCTCCCGGCCCTGTGGGGTGGGAGCTGTGCGGTGGGAGCTGTGCGGTGGTAGGGCTTTACCGCCGCTCCTAATGCTCTGTGTGTGTGTAGTGGGAAAACGGAGCGAGAGCTTGCTCTGCTCCCTCCGCGTTTATGGCGGCGGGTAAAGGGCCAGCCCCGACCTTGCCTGAGGGTTGAAGGGACTTGGCACCCCTCTGTGAGCCACCCGTCGTCTCTCCCCACTGCCTCTCCCCGCTGTTTAATTGGGCGCTGTCCCTGGGAGGCAGAGTCCGTTGCGCCCATGTGGGTCCGCAGGAATTTGCCCTGCTTCTGCCTGGTGCTCTGATTGTCAGATGCAGAATGGGGTGCTGGGGGCATGGGAGTCCGGGTATTGTTGGGCTTTTCCCACACGGCAGAGTGGAAACAAACTGGGAGAGGGGTATTGGGCAGCAAAGATGATGTAGGGCAGTACGGGACTATCAGTGGCCTGATCTGTCCCACAAAACTACCGTCAGAGAGAGACTAGATGGGAGCGTCGCTGTGGTGCTTCTCCCAGGTGGGTGTAAATGCTGCCAGATTTCAGCACAGCTGATAAGCACAAAAGTTTGTTGGAGCAGTTGTAAGCCCAGCTATGTCCCTACTCAGGGGGTTTTCTGACAGTTTTGCTGTGTATATTTTACTGTCCCAGCACTTGCTGGTGTAGATGGAGCTGCACAAGGTGAAATTGTTACTCTAAATTTGGTCTCAAGAGATCTCCCCTAAGGCTTAGTTTGAAGTTTTAAAGGCAGGCAGGCTGTATTACAGCGCTGGGTGCTCAGGGGATCATTCCACCTAACGTGCATGTCAAAAGACAAAAGCACACTTGTTACATACAATTAAAGAAATGGATATTCATGTAATTTCCAAGAAGTACAGCTTGTTTCCAGAGGATCTAATGCATATGTTAATACATTGAGCAAGTGTATTAAAATTTGGGGAAGGGTCTCTGAGAGGCTTCCATGGGGGGTTTCGGTGGTCTGTGGTGGTCCCTAGTGGCTGTTGAAGAGATGTCTTGGTGTCCTCTCCATGAACTCTGAGGAGTTTTTTTCTCATATATGGCCTCGTCTTGGTTCGTTATTCTGTCTGAAAATTTTTCTCAGCTTTCTTGACAAACACAGGTGTGTGTTGGTTTCTCTGCCCTCCCCAGGATGTATCCATCACAGCTGCAAAAATTATGTCTGAGGTGCCTTACAGCAGTTAGCACCAACTGCTTGCAGCTGTCAGTTATCAGGCATCAAAATAAATCCACGTTGTTGTTAGGAAGTGTGGATAGATCTCTTAATAGTAGTGCCCCCCTTCTCCCAAAGCTGGTAAGGAAGAAATGTAAGCAATGTGTATGGTCTGTCAGTGCAGACCCTTGTTGCAGCATGGGGTGGGTCTGTGAGGCACAATGAGGAAGCCTTAAGGCACTGGTAGCGCTGCCTGATGCCCTCTCCCAGTTTGTTTCCACTCTGCCATGTGGGAGAGGCCCAGCAATACCCAGACTGCCCTGCCCCCAGCACCCTGTTCTGCATCTGATACCCTCTCTGTGATGGAGCTGGCCTCTTCCTTTGGGTGGCCCCACTGTCCTTCCCACCACTGCGTCCTGTTCCTTGCCACCTGTACTGGTAGCGTCAGGCTATTCTACTAATCATCTTTAATTTCCAGTGACTTTTTATTTGTAGCTGTTGTGCAGATTGCTCTGACATAAGAAGGTGGAGTTTGTCCTAGAAGTAAAAGGAAGTCAGTGATGTGAGATGGGGACTGATTTGTTTGGGGAATGTTGCAAACCAAGAGTGATGATGGCAAAAGAGGCAACAACTGTAGGAAATATTAAAAATGAACAGCAGAGCTGGTGTGCCTTGGTTGTCACAAGCAATTAGAAAGCACTGGCTGTACACGTGGTTTGTTGTTTTGTTCTCATTTCAGGAGACCTCAGCCATGCAGAGCTGATGATGATGACGATAGCTGACATCATAAAACAATTAATTGAGTCTCACGAGCAGGGAAAAGATGTGAATCTGAACAAGTAAGTCACTCTGGGATGGCACTGAAGAGCTGGTCCACTAGGGATGAACCTGTTCTATACTGATTGTTGCATTTAGGTTTTTCTTTTAAAATGCTTTATTTTCACAGGCTACTGTCATTTCTCTTACCATTATCTGATAATAAAGACACCAAGATTTGTAAATTCTGTGGTGATTTGAAATTGTGCAGTGCTCAGAGGTACAAAATGGGTTGTACTGGTGAAAAAACCCAAGCAACTTGTCATTGCCTTTTTGTGTTTCTACCTGTGTTCATCCTTCAGTAGTCCTAAAGTCAGTTCCACCAGGGAAAGGAGAGATTAATTTAGGGATAAAGTTTAAATCAAATTTTCTTAGCAACGTTTGATAAATGAAGTTGTTTTCAGAAAGTTCTTTACATACACGGAATAATAAAACCTGAATTTCTCCTACTGTTTCTATTTCATTTACATGGTGTAATTGCAGACTTTTTGCTTTCATTTACATGATTGCAGACTTTTTGCTGATGTCTTTAACGGGCATGAATGTCTTTAGAAATGAACACGGCTAGAGTCTGTGTGTGCAGGGGTTACTCACATGGCAGACATGAAAATAATTAAATCACTGAAAACAGGTAACTCAGAGTCTGTGGGCAGATGTTTTAATAAAACCATCATTAGAAGAAAAATATGCAGGCTAAAAACATTGGCAGTTGTTGCATAACGACTTTATTTGGAGTTTATTTTCGGTGCAGCAGTTGTGAGGAGTTGTTGTATGCTTTTTAAATAAGGTACCTGGAAAGGCAAATTGGCAGAACCTCCCTAGATCTCCACGTCACTGAGCGGTGGTGTGATAGCACTGCTGTGGAATATGGGCGTGCAAGTCAGGATGGAGTTATGAATTGGAGGTATTTGTGCTTTCAGGCTGAAAACCAAGACATCGGCCAAGTACGGGCTTTCAGCGCAGCCGCGTTTGGTTGACATCATCGCTGCTGTGCCGCCACAGTACCGCAAGGTGCTGGTGCCAAAGCTGAAGGCCAAGCCTATAAGAACTGCTAGTGGGGTAAGTGTAGACATCGCTCACAGAATCACAGAACCGTCTGGGTTGGAAGAGACCTTGAAGATCATCCAGTCCAACCATTCACCTAACATTGACAGTTCTCAACTACACCAGATCCCTCAGCGCTACGTTGACTGTACTCTTCAACCCCTCCAGGGATCCCGGGGACTCCCCCCTGCCCTGGGCAGCCCATTCCAACGCCCAACAGCCCCTTCTGCACAGAAATCCTTCCTCAGAGCCAGCCTGACCCTGCCCTGGGCAGCTTGAGGCCATTCCCTCGGGGCCTGGCGCTGGCTCCTTGGCTCCAGAGACTCATCCCCCCTCTCTGCCCCCTCCTGGCAGGGAGTTGCCGAGGGCCAGGAGGTCTCCCCTCAGCCTCCTCTGCTCCAGACTGAACCCCCCCAGTTCCCCCAGCCGCTCCCCAGCAGACCTGTGCTCCAGACCCTGCCCCAGCTCCGTTGCCCTTCTCTGGCCACGCTCGAGTCACTCAATGGCCTTTTTGGGGTGAGGGGCCCAAAACTGAACCCAGGAATCGAGGGGCGCCCCCCCCAGTGCCGAGCCCAGGGCTCAGATCCCTTCCCTGTCCCTGCTGGCCACGCCAGGGCTGACACCAGCCAGGATGCCGTTGCTCTCCTTGGCCCCTGGGCACACTGCTGGCTCCTGTTCAGCCAGATATCAATCAACACCCCCAGGTCCCTCTCTGACTGGCACTCTCCCCATCCACCACGATCCTTCCCTCCTCTCATCCATAAATTGTATTAAATTGTTTTCCAAGACCAGGATATTGAGTTCTGGAAGCTTTAATACAGATGTGCTGGCTGCATTGCCAGCTTCCACGTTGCCTTTTCTGTGATGATGTGCCTACAGGGCTGTTCCTTTCAAAACTTGGGAGAAGAGAAAGAGGAGGTGTGAGGTTTTATTTCAGAGTGGCATGTCTTGGTTTTTTAGTTGCTGTAGAAACAGTGCAGCTTAATCTGCAGACCCTCTCAATGAACAGAGGTAAAAACTGTATTTAACCTGTTTCTCGAAAAGGTAGTTCAGGCTGAAAACAATAATAGAGGTACAGTTAACATTCAGTTGGGTGTTTTTATGCTCCCCTGCTGTATGTATAGCATGCCTAAAATCAAGTCAACAAAAATCCCTGAAAACCAACCAAACAAAAACCCTCAGAAACAAAAATCCATGAAGTGTTTAATTTCTGTAACTTAAAAAAAAAAAAAACAAACATCCAACCCCCTCTGAACAAACCCACAACCTCCCCCCACCCGTCAATTCCTTAATTTATTTGATTTCTTATTTCTGGCCATAGAATATTTCATTAAACTCTTAACTTCAGCTGGAAATTGGATATTCTGAGTTGGGTGTCCCAAATTAGCAGACACTGGAAAGTCTTTGTGGGTCTCTCTTCCTCCCTCTGGTCCCCTTTACAAAGGAAGGGAGCATCTTACATTATGCTTACGTTTAATGTATGAAAAGCAGTTGTGAGATCAGGCAGGGAAGAAAGGCTTAGCTCAGGTGGAGGGAGGAAGCTGTTTTTTATTCTGTTTGGTTCATATCTGTTTGTTTCTCTTCTTCGCTCCCCCACTTCCATCCTCCAGGTGGTGGCTGGTGGCACGCTCTCACCCTGGAGCTGGTTTAGATGTGTGTTAGATGGTCCTAGCGAATACCTGGATGTCTCTGTGCATCTTTTCAGGAGGGTGGTTAATCAGATTTGGTATAAGACAAACAATTCTTTATAACAGACTGCCACTTTATTCTGAATTATAAAAATATTAAATAATCGGTTTCCTATTTCATGATATATTTGTTATCTCCTTCAAGAGTTAACACATAGATATTCTAGGTGGCAGACTAAGAAGAAAACATCTTTAAATAGTCTCTCACAGATGCACGTGTATACGTAGCCTTCCAAGATGCATTTTATTTTAGTAACTTCAGAAGCAATTACTATAATTTCTCTCCTCTAATTTTTCTTCTTACAGATTGCTGTTGTGGCAGTGATGTGTAAACCACACAGGTGTCCACACATTAACTTTACAGGCAACATATGTGTGTAAGTATCACAGCTTAGATGAAATAAGGAGACTGTTTTCCAGTATTTCTGTATAAATCTAATATTGCAGTAGCATTGTGTCAGGGACAGGCTTCCTTTCTGCACAAGCACTAAGTTGCAGATTGCTGACGCCTGCACATTTATGCTAAAAAGTCTTGTTTTCAATTTTTCTTCAAGGAAGAAACCTTTTTCTTCCATGGACCAAATCCTACTTAGTAGGATTCATGGTTCTGTGAATATAGTAACCAGGAGAATATATTAATGAGCAAATGTGAATTGTATCACAGTGATCAAAGATGTGTTGTGCAGGTGACTGGCTACATAAGCCGACTGGAGAAGACTATTACAGAAGAGAAACAGGGCTCAGTCTGAAAAGTTTAAAAACTGCTGAACTGAGACAGGCCCAAGGAGGTGCAGGTGTTGTCTGCAAAAAGGTGCTCGGTGTGACAGTCTGGCTCTGCCTGGCTCTGGAGTGAAACGAGAGCACAGATGGAAGGGAAAGGCCTCCAGCTGCCAAGAACTCGTGGCATTAAGTGAATAGCTTCTGAATTTTATTTGAATTGAAGAACCCATGCTGGGTTTAACTTGAAGTATGTTTCTGCTGCTTGACTTAAGAGTCTGTGCACCTGAGATCTCATCTGGTTTTTCTTCCAACCACGTCAGTTCATCTATTTTAAAACATTGCTTCTCTTTCCCACCTTGTCACTCCTGAGCCACCAGTGTGTTTCACCACCAGCTGCCTAACAGAGTGAGCTGGCTCCATTCTTTTTTTTTTTTTTCATGAGCAGCTATTCTGTTTGAGATGTTCCAGGTAATTACTTGTATGAAATGTCTTCAATTGGTTTGCGCAACTTTTGCCAGCAAATTAATTTGGCCACGGTAATTTGGTAATTAATTTTATAATGGTGACAGATGACTTGGGTTGAGTTTGCAGGGCAGGCAGTGAGGAAACTAATCAATTATACTGTGAACGGAATGTGTCTGATTTGATAGAGATGGCATTATCTTGGTGTCTGTGCAGTTGAGATCAGCACCGTAAGTAATTATACACGACTGCTCTGATACCTTTTCTGTTGGAGGTGCTCAGTGCCTGCAGTTAAAGTAGGAGGGTTGACAACCCTCCTGTCTCACGTCATCTTTGAGCACAGAATGGCTGTAGGTTGGTCACTAATCCCACAGCCCTCAAAAGAAAGCGAAGGATCTGCAAAATAAATTTATATTCCCTTTGGTTACCATCTGCTGCCTACCATTCCTCTGCTGCCTAGCAGTCATGCTGTGCTAGCCACAAGTCCATCTTGCTGTGTCACAAAATCAGAGTTTCAAACAAGCCTCTAGATGTAGAAACTGAAATTTAATACCAAACTGCCATACAATTATAGAATCATCGAATGGTTTGGGTTGAAAGGGACCTTAAAGCCCATCCCATCCAATCCCATCCCCCTGCCCCGGGCAGGGCCACCTTCCACCAGCCCAGGTTGCCCAAAGCCCCATTCAACCTGGCCTTGAGCCCTTCCAGGGAGGGGGCAGCCACAGCTTCTCTGGGCAGCCTGTGCCAGGGCCTCACCCCCCTCACAGGGAACAATTTCTGCCTTAGTTCTCATCTAAGTCACCCCTCTGTAAGTTTAAAACCAACACCCCTTGTCCTATCCCTACACCCCCTGATCCAGAGTCCCCCCCTGCCTTTCCTGCAGCCCCTTTCAGCCCTCGGAGGCCACTCTAAGGTCTCCTCGGAGCCTTCTCTTCTCCAGCTGAACCCCCCAACTCTCCCAGCCTGTCCTCACAGGGGGGCTCCAGCCCCCCCAGCATCTCCGTGGCCTCCTCTGGCCCCACTCCAGCAGGTCCGTGTCCTTCTGCTGTTGGTGCCCCTGAGCTGGACCCAGCCCTGCAGGGGGGTCTCACAGAGCGGAGCAGAGGGGGAGAATCTCCCCCCCTCGCCCTGCTGCCCACCCTGCTCTGGGTGCAGCCCAGCACACAGGTGACTTTCTGGGCTGAGAGTGCACATTGCAGGGTCATCCAAGTCCTTCTCCTTGGGGCTGCTCTCAATCCGCTCCTCACCCAGCCTGGATTTGTGCTTGGGATTACCCCGACCCATGGGCAGGACCTTGCACTTGGCCTCATTGAACTCCATGAGGTTCACACGGTCCCACCTCTCCAGCCCATCCAGGTCCCTCTGGGTGTCACATCCCTTCCCTCCCGTGTGTCACCGCCCCACACAGCTCGGGGTCATGGATGAACTTGCTGAGGGTGCCTCGATCCCACTGTCCACATCGCCAACAAAGATGTTGAACAACACTGGTCCTGGCCTCTGAGGAGCACTGCTTGTCACTGCTCTCCACTGGGACATCGACCTGTTGACTGCAACTCTTTGAGGGCAGCCACCCAGCCAATTCCTGATCCCCCGAGTGCTCCATCCGTCAGATCCACGTCTCTCCAATTCAGAGACAAGGGTGTTGTGCTGGACAGTGTCAGATGCTTTGCTCAAGTCTAGGTGGATGACATCAGTTGGTTTTCCCTTGTCCACCAATGGTATCGTAGAAGGCCACCAGATTCCTTCAGGTGTGATTTGCCTTAGTGAAGCCATGTTGGCTGTCACCAATAATCACCTTATTTTCCATGTTCACTAGCATAGTTTCCAGGAGGATCTGCTCCATGATCTTGCCAGGCACAGAGGTGAGACTGACTAACCTGTAGTTCCCTGAATCTTCTTTATTTCCTGTTTTTAAAATGGGGGTTATGTTCCCCTTTTTCAGTCAGCAGGAACTTCACCAGACTGCCACAACTCAAATACGATGGATAGTGGCTGAACCAGTTCATCCCCCAGTTCTCTCAGGACCCATGGACTTGTGCACCTTCAGGTTCCTTAGATGGCCTCAGACCTGCTCTTCTCCTACAGTGGGTGGTTCTGCATTCTCCCAATCCTCACCTTTGCCTTCTGCCCCTTGGTTGGTGTGACTGGAGCCCATGTTGGTGAAGACTGAGGCAAAAAAGTCCTTGAGTAGCTCAGCCTTCTCCATGTCCTTGGTAACCAGGTCTCCCATTTCCCCCTGGAGAGGGCCCACATTTTCCCTAGTCTTCCTTTCATCACTGACCTACCTGCAGAAGCTTTTCTTGTTGCCTTTGATGTCCCTAGCCAGATTTAATTCTATCAGGGCTTTGGCCTTCCTAACCTGATCCCTGGCTGCCTGGGCAGTTTCTCTGTATCCCTCCCAAGCTATTTGACCTTGCATCCAACCTCTGTAGCCTTCTGTTTTGTGTCTGAGCTTGTCCAGGAGCTCCTTGTCCATCCCTGCAGCTTCCTGATGTTCTTACCTGCCTTTCTTTTTGTCAGGGTATGTTGCTCCTGAGCTTGGTGGGAAGTGATCCTTGAATATTAACTAGATTTCCTAGGCCATGCCCTTCCCTCCAGGGCTTTATCCCGCACTACTCTGCCAAGCAGATCCCTGAAGAAGCCAAAGTCTGCTCTCCTGAAGTCCAGAGTAGAGAGCTTGCTGTATGCCCTCCTCGCTGGCTGAAGGATCTTGAGCTCCACCATTTCATGGTCACTTGAACTTCATGTTCCCCACCAACCCCTCTTTGTTATCTGGAGCATTTTGTCTGTATTCTTTTGGACTTAAAATGTTGTATTCATTCCTAAGTTCAGAAAACCAATGTAAATGAGCTTTCTCACCATCAAGATACTTATGTTCTATTAATTTGTGGAAATGTAGATTGTGTAACAGGATGATATCTCCATGTCTTTCCATGCCAAACAACAATCATATTTTACATCAAATGAGACTTATGTCCTTGATAGAATGGTGGAAAATATTTACATTGTTTATGATTGTCAAAATTCCTTTTTAAAATCTAATAATCTGTGTGTAACTATTACTTCAAAACTGTATGGCAGCTCCCTAAAATAATGCCATGTTCCAGAAACACATTCACAATACATCTTGCTTCTAGGAAGTCACATCAGGTTGCTTTATGTACATGTAGTCATTTGACAGGTCTGAACTGTTTTTTGACATCCCATTCTCATTAAAATTAAATGAACCAGCTGTTTTGCACGGTAAACTTAGCTGTTGTAAACATACACAGGTGCAGTTCCTCTTGGTGTTACTGGATATCACAGAATCACTCTCTCCAGCATGCAGAAACATGGGGATTTATTCATTCATCCCATGCTCTGAGCTGACCAGTCATGAACTACCTTCAGTCTGGAAGCTGTATTGCAGCATTAAGGTACTGTAGGGCTTGAGCTAGCCAAGCCTGCCTTTTGTGGAATTGTTTTTTACCTTTATGAGAACACCCACGTGCCAGGAGAGGGGTCGGCACGTTGCTGTGGTCAGCCAGCTGTCTCAAATTTGTGCTCCCCCGTGTTTCTGATGAGAGGTGGAGTTAGGTGGAGCAGTGTCTGCTCAGCCTGCACCTTCTTGTGGACCCCATCATTTGCAATTGTCTGAGTTTGATGCCTCTTTTCTGTCTTTTTATATTTGCAGGTACTGCCCAGGTGGACCTGATTCTGATTTTGAATATTCAACACAGTCTTACACTGGATATGAGGTATTACATCAGTCTGCCATCGTGAATTGCCTACACTCTCTATAAACTTGGGTTAGGCTGCTCTTTATTTCTACAAATTCACTCAAGTCGCAGGAATAAAAAACAAAAGCAGGCTTCATAAACTTCGAGATCTAAAGCAACTCAAGCTAGGACTGGAAATTCTTTTCAATTATTGTAGCAGTTGTTTTTTTTCTCCTCACCTTGCTGCTGTTTATACTGTTAAACGTGCAATATGCTTTAGAGCAGGAGTGAGCAGCCTGTGATTGTGAGCAGGGTGGTGCAGCATCTTGGCTGTACCCCAAGACTTGCTGGTGTGGGTACGGCTGTTAAATCTGAATCTCCAGCTGTGGAAAGCAACTGAGTGAGGACAGTTGAAGTTTGCATTGCTGCCTCCCATGGGACACTGCTGCATGCAGTTTGTTGAAATGAATGCTGGCTGTGATCGCTACAGGAGTTACCAATCTGTGGCAGAATTCTCCGAACTAAACAGTCCAGCAAAAATATAAAGTTTTACTTGTGGCTCAGTATGGGTTTAAGGGAAAGGTACTGAGAAGGCAGAGCCAGACTCATCCTCAGAGCTGCTAAATGGAAAGATGAGAGGCAACAGACATGAGTTAGAATGTGGAAGATTGTGCCTTAATATAAGAAAAGAATGTTTTAACATGACAGTTGTCAAACGCTTGAGTGGTTTTGGGATCTCTGTTCTTAAAGATAGTCACTGGCTGCACACAGACCTGAGCATCCTATCCTAACTGGGCCTGCTTTCAGTCCTGTCCAGCCTGCAGATTAACAAAGGTCAGGCTCTAGAAAAAAGACCATTATTTAGCTGTTAGTGCCTCTGAAATTCCATTCATGCTTTTTTATGTCTCTGTATCTGCAGTGGTATCTCACTAAATACATATATTTCTGAAACAGCCCTCTCCTGTTGTCTGGAGAAAGTTTAACAGCAGATCTTGCTGTGACTAAATTATTGTGGGTGGTTTTAACAAAACAACTCATAGCTGTAGTATAGATGTAAAGTAACAAAATGAGATAAAATACGAACCGGATTAATTTGGTAAACAGTGATGCAGCATCCTTTCGGTACAGATTTTGTGTGTTGTTATCCACCTCTCAGTGACTTGAAACTTGTCCTGTTAGTGCAAAGTAGGAAAATCCTGTGTATATGTAACTGCTTTAAAATTCATGTTGTTTTGGATATGTTATATTAATTTGTTCAGTGCTAACAGCATGTGTGAGTTGTGCATGATTAAAAGAGTCCTCGTTCTCGAGAGCTTTTAATGCAGCAGATACAAAATACTACATAAATCCAGGATACAAAAGATACTTGAAAACCTTGTTTTGGAGTGTTATTAATAGGTTTACATTGGATGGTAATATTAGTAGTAAGGTGTTAGGGATTTCAGTTGAAATAGTATCTTTAGCTTAAAGAATATTTGAAGTTTAGACTGAGCTCTAGAGGACGCTGCTTGGATAACTTGTGCAAGTGGAGAGAAACTAAAATGAATGGGACAGAAAAAGTGGTACTTTGAAAAACATTGTGATTTTTTGGTGATATTTTTTGTGACTCACTACAGAGATTCTTCATCCTGTTGTAATGCACTAAAAAGTTGAAAAATTGTGTTATTCTTTTTATGTCATGTTACCATCTCAGGATGACAATGTGTTTTGTTATAATTTTTTAAAAATTAAGGAGCCAAAATAATATTTGAACTTGGATGGACTCTTTGGTTCTGAGTTTGAAGATTTTAGGATCTATTAGGATTTGAAGACTTAAGCATCTGTTTCAATGATAAAAGGTTTTTTTTTTTTCTTTTTCACTGTTTTTTTTTAAAAAAATAAATTACAAAATGAATCTCCTTGTGTTTTTTAGCCAACGTCCATGAGGGCCATTCGGGCTAGATATGACCCTTATCTCCAGACAAGACACAGAGTAGAACAGGTAAATTCTTACACTGAAAGGGGAATACATTGTGGTTGTGATGAAAATGAGAGTGCTTTTAATTGCCTGAACTGGTGGACTGAAAGGGTTGTGATCAGCAGCACTAAGTGCAGCTGGAGGCCAGTCTCTAGTGATGTAACCCAACTGTCAATATGGGGGCCAAGAGTGTTTAACCTCTGTGTTAATGACCTGGGTGCTGGGACAGAGCAAGTTTGTAGATGATATGGAATTGGGAGGAGTGGATGACAGACCAGAGGATCATGCTGCCATTCAGAGAGACCTGGACAGGCTGGAGAAATGGGCTGCTGAGCACTTCTTGAAGTTGAACAAAGGGAAATGCCAAGTCCTGCCCCTGGGGAGGAACAACCCCAGGCACCAGTATGTGCTGGGGGCCAACCATTTGCAAAGCAGCTCTACAGAAAAGGAGCTGGGGGTGCTGGTGGACACCAGGTTGACCATGAGCAGCACTGTGGTCTATAGGCAAAGGCCAGTAGCCTCCTGGGCTGCATTAGGAGTGTTGCCAACATGTCAAGAAGGGAGGAGATCCTTCCTCTAGCCTCAGCAGTGGTGAGGCCCCACCTGGAGAGCTGTGTCCAGCTCTGGGCTCCGCAGAAGACAGACGTGAACACACTGAGGGAAGTCTAGCAGAAGGCCACTAAGATGATGAAGGGACTGGAGCATCTGAAGAGATGCTGAGGGAGCCAAGGCTGTTTAAGCCGGGGATGAGAAGGCTTGGGGGAATCTTGCCAATGTGTGTAAGTAGTTGGTGGGAGGCTGTAAAGAAGACAGAGCCAGGCTCTTCTCAGTGATGCCCAGTGACAGGACAGGACATGATGCAATGAGCACAAATGGAAACATGAGAAATTCTATTTGAGCATCAGGGAACTGTGAGCCAGGTGCCCAGAGAGGATGTGCAGTCTCCATCCTTTGAGACATTCAGAGCCTGGATGCAGTACTGAACAAACTGCTGGTAGCTGATGCTGCTTTGAGAAGAAAGATTTAACTAGGTGACCTCCAGAGGTCCCCTCTAACCTCAACTTTTTTATGATTCTATAATTCTACATTAGCCTGACTTGATCCCTGTAGAAAAATTATTTTTAGACCTTTAAACTGTCTATCATCTCTATTAGATAAATGACAAGTTTTGAACCTCTTATAAGATTTTATCTGTTCTGAACAATACCTGGCTAATAGGAGATCCTATTACAAAAAAATTGTACTGAACTTCTGTGACGCTTACTAGTTCTTGATAATTACTTAAATGGAGAATTTAGTACTCAAATAGTGGCTTTCCTACCAAAATGATTTTTTGGAGGACTTTACTGGAGAGTTAGAAGAGTTTTTTGATCCTGTTCTGCTTTGGCTGGTTCCCTGTTTATCTCCACATCCATTGGAAAATTCTCTGTGGATTCAGTGTAGTCCTTCTCTCCCACAAGTTTTTAAGGAGAGTTCTGCATGGATTGAAGGCAATGTGAGGAAACTTTTAGTACTGGCCTTACCTAAGCTAATTTCAAACTGGGAACCAGGGTTACTCCATCAGCAAGATACTAGGCTCAATTCTGCTGTGTCAAGAAAACCTGTAACACTGGGCTCAATATCTGTACTCTGTTCTTGCAGTAGAAAAATAACTTTTGAGGGCTTTTAAGGGGGGAGGTTATAAGAAATCTGTGCAAAAGTGTTCAGGGTTTGTCATATGTGAAAGAAACGACAGTGAAAGAAGGAAATGCAGTGTAAGAATGTCAGGGTTTTCAGGGAAGTCTTTTAGGTAAGTCCCTGATTGGTAATTTGTCCCCCGGTACTTTTAATTTTACAGCTGAAGCAGTTGGGCCACAGCGTGGATAAAGTAGAGTTTATTGTGATGGGTGGAACATTCATGGCCCTGCCGGAAGACTACAGAGATTACTTCATCAGAAACCTTCACGATGCCTTATCAGGTCACACTTCCAATAATGTAGCAGAGGCTGTCAGGTAAGCATCTTGATTTTCCTTAATGTAGTTGTTTAAAAGTGTTCTTTGAACGGTGTAAGAACAGCAAATACTGAAGAAAAGCTGTTTGTTTTTTTTTTTTTTAAAAAGGCAATGTTTATCCAAATACGTATTTAGACACGGAATATTTATAGCTCAACTTGCAGCATAGCTCTGCGTACTGCATAGCACCCGCAGAACGTAGGGCCACGGTTTATCTATTTTCTCGTGTGGGAAACGCTAAGCTGCTTCTAATTTCTTGGCATTCCATCTGGACTTTTACCTTTTATGCCTCATCACCTTGATTTGGAGTTGTGACGAATCCCATTGCCACGGGATTTATTTCCTTGAGCTGGGACGGGGAGCTGATCCCGCCTTGGAGGGAGGCCAGACGTCAGCTCCCATCAGGGATGACTCACCCCCGAGAGCGTCAGCGCTCAGGAGCTCCCAGCCCCTTCCAGTCTCCAACGCAGTCACCCTTGCAGTATTTTGGTGTGGCAAGGAGATGCTCTTCTCATTTTACAGTTGGTGAACAGAAAATCAGAGGCTGATTTATTTACGTGTGCTTTGGGTCATTAAATACATAACTTTTCAGTGCATTTTGTAGTTAAAAAAAAAAAAAAAAAGAAAAAGGAGAGATTTGATGTTTTGGAGCTGTTAAAACTAGGTGAGCATCCCTACTGACAGTTTTGGTTTGCTACCTTGTCCTCTCGTTCAGTGCAGTGGATTCTCCTTGATCCTTTATCATGTAAAGAAAGCAGTTTTAAAACTGAGAGGGACCAGCCCTTGCCTAGCTTCATGTCTACCTTCGTCTTTTAAAGCTGTAATTTCATTTGGTTTTCCTCCGGAGGGCAGCAAACACTTCTCTTGGTTTTCTTTGCTTTTCGTTTTTTCTTTTTTCTTTTTTTTTTTTTTCCCCTTGTCATTCAAAGACCAGACAAAAAGTGCTATGCTGCTCTTTCCCAGTGGATTTGATCAAGATGAAATAATGAACAAGTTGGGAAAAGAAGATGCTTTTCTTTTGCTCTAGTTGTGAGCACTGAAGGACACAGCTCATTATGGCAGAAGGGTGGTATTTGCACGTTGTCTATTTGCACGTTGTCTATTCAAACTAGCTCTGGGCTTATACGTACATCAGGTGGTTCAGGATGTGGTTATTCCTTTTTTTTTTTTTGCTGCTGCTGCAGGTGTCTAGCTAATTTTATTGGACCTAAAATTGTTTTTTCCAGTAGCCTGTCCTTCGCTCTGCAGGTTACTGAGGAAACTATTTACGACACAGACCGTGTGACCAAGTAATTTTGAGTGCATGCAAAACCCAAGTGACTCTGAAGTCAGCGTGCTGCTGCCTTGCAAGCGCGCAGATCGAGCAATGTGAGAAATCCTTCGCTAGCAATGTGTGGTTTTTTTTTTTTCCAGCAGATAAATAAAGGTTTATATTTTTAACATAAAAATTCATGTGAAATGCTTAGTAAATGGAGGTACGTGGGAGTTACTCAAGTTACACTTCCTAAATATTCTAAAGGCAAGAAAATTGAGTTCAAGCTGAATCAGACCTTTTGTTTTTGTGCTTCTTGCATTTAGCTGTCGTACTGTGTCACTGCAGTACTACTTTGTGGTGGTCAGTGACACTTGAAATAAACATTAAGAGTGAATTTATTTATTTTTGTACATGAGGATTCAGCCCTTCACCCTTACTCCTTCCATCAACAGAGGCCATGCTACATGGGGAATACTGACAGTATTTTATTCGGTTTACATTGCAGGCACTGCATTCAGCAGTAACCTGGGATCTGGTCTCTCTCATCCCTTACTTTGAATACGATTCTGGTAGCCTTGAAATTTTTCTTCCTTGTGCAAATTATAACTTTAGGTTTTGTACAGCGATTCCTTAATGGGAAAAATGACCTTCAGCCAGGATGCTTTTTTAAAATTCCTTCTGAGCATGACCTTTGATTAAGCCAGTGGAGCATCTATCTGTATAGGCTACAGGCCACCTAACTGTGAACTCAGTTTTTTCCTCTTTTGTCCAGTCATTTCTTTACTTTGCCCTAAACTTGAGCTCTGCTTCTACGTCCAGTGCTGCCTTGCAGCGATAGGGATATGCTGACCTATACGCTCTGAACTGTGCAGCACTGACGGGCTCATCAATCTGGCATCCTCCTCTTGACGTAATTTGGAATTTTCTTCATATAATACTTTGTCTTGATCAGCCTGCTGCAGCTTCTGGTCCCAGTTAATCTGATAAAAAGGATGTGACTCTGTGCAGTTTCAACCAGTACAATATGCCTGTAGCCTGCTGTGAGGGTATATGCTGTTCCTCACCAGGAACCGGCGCTGCAAGTCTGAAGAAAAAAGTCCTCAAACTGTGTTGGCCCTTGGACTCCAGCTGATAATTTGAGTTGACTTCAGGCATTCTTGCAGATACACAGTCTTACGGTAAATCCAGCCTCATGGTAAATCACAAAGCTGCAAACCCAGCAGTGCCTGTGTGAGAGAAATGATGCGGGACTGGGAGCGATGTCTCAGGGAGGTGGGGCGCCGCTCTAGCCAGCTCCTGACAGATAAATAAATCTGAAACTGTGGTTTTATAGTCAGTGAAAAGAGCAGGATCTTCATGGGATGGCTCAGAGCACCTAAGCTAGGTTGCTGCTTTAAACTGTTTCCGGGTAAACTGGGCAGCTGACCTGGGGGGTGTGAGGAACTGCCTTTATACCTCTGTTTATAAAGCGGTAGGAGATTCTTTTTGTGTGAGTGGACCTGAGGTGAGTTAAGATGTTGGTTTTTATGGATGCATGAATGGGACGTGAGTGTAGAAGTGACTGAATTTACATATACAAACTCACCAACCAAAAGTGTGATTTTTTTTTAAAAAAAAAATAAACAGAGAAGCTGCTGGGCTTTCGTAGCAAATCTGTTGCAAGTGGAGGAAGGACGTGACTTCCCAGAGAAAGTGTTGCTGGTGTTTAATATTTCTGTAGCACCTCCCTATTAAGGTAATAAACACTTTTTAGACTCTTCAGACAGATCTCTTTGCTTGAGGTGCTTTGGTATGCTTGCGAAATAAGTTGGCCAAGGAGTGAGTAAAGAATTGCAGAGCCATAGGGTGTGTGTGTCTTTGTTTTGTAGAGAGCGTGCAACAAGACTGCAAAGTTTTAATTTTTATCTGCTGTTTCAGTGCACTTCTGGATGTCTACCAAGCAAGGTTGTGGACTTGGTGATAAGCTTCCCTTCTTTAGGAGGAGATTTGTAGTAACTGTTAAAGAATTGCTGTAAGACAGATTTTTTTTTAAAATTTTTTTTCTTTTTGCACACTAAAGAAATACAGCCTTCTCTGGGAGTTGTTCGCATCAAGCCCAAGTGTTGACTTGATTGCGGCTGCCTTTGCTCTTTTGTGAGGACGAAGAAGGTGTAAAATACACCTGCAAACGAGAATTGCTGCTCCCCATCATTTTGCTTGTCTCACCTGACCCCGTGAGTCATTAGAGGTGCTGGGCTTATTTAACTGCCACTGTGACTCACCACTTGACTCCAAGGGCTGCGCATCTCTCCTCTGAGCCAGGTTCTGACTTTTAATTAGTGAATGAGGCCAAAGGAGAACTTGCCTGTATTGGGAAAGGTGGGTGTCAGAAAGGTCCCCCAGGCTCTGCACCCATGCAATTCCTTGGACTGCAACGCCAAGCCTGGCTTCTCTTAGTGTCTTTAAAAATGCACAGAAATTATTTTAAAAATTTTATTTTAACAGTATCATGTGTTGTCTGATAGTCGATCTGGTTGTAAATCATTTTGTTAATGGCAAAGTAAGAAGGGGATAAAATTGCTGGAGCCTCATGTTCTGCAATTCACGTACCTTCTGTACCTGTTATTTATGTGACAATATTCAGATGCACAGCAGATACAATAACTATTTCCATAATAAGTCGCTAATCCAAGACTGGTTTGGCTTTACATCCCCTCATCAGTCAGTAGTCTCTTCAAAGGCTCATTTTCCACTTGCATCATGCGTTGAAGCCCAGAACTGGCAGAAGTGAGTACTGTCAGCTGCCTTTGATTCCTCTTGGAGAAACTGCAGCTCTGAATACCTGGTGACACCGTGAGACTGCCTTTTTCTTAGGCTTGTCATCGATTGCTTTTGCCAAGTGTCCTTTTGTGTTTCCACCATTAGTTGTGTCTTCCATGGAGCTGGTGAGCAGGCAGCAGTGCTTCCCGCTGCCACAAATGTTTTCGTTATGCACGAGGAAATTTCCTTTAAGCATCCCAAAAGCCATATTGATCTTTTGGCAAGTGGTAAGCAGATAGATCAGCTACTTTAGAGCCTTTGCTGAAAGAAAAAAAACAGGTTTTAAATAACCACTGCTTAGGGCTGGATTATTGTGTGTCCAGTTTAAGACCTCTTAGCCCATTTTAAGAAAAAAAAAAAACAAAAACCAAACAACAAACCAAGCACTGCCAGTTTCAGCAGCAGTTGGTTTGATACGTGGAGCTCCTGACGCCTTTTAAAACCCAGCTGGAAATCACTCCTCTTGAACATGCCAGATCAGAGCGACCCATGAAAAATGTGGTTTGTGTGATTGTCAAATGATGTGTTTTCTGGAAAGATCGTTATATTCTTTTCTCAAATACCCCCATTAGATTTTGTGTATCAATAATTCTTCTCATAGAAGCTCCGCAAGAAACACAGTGATTGTGAAGGTTGATAACTAAGCCACTCCTAATTTTGCTTTTCAGTAGTGAGCAGTAAACCTGCTTCCAAAAGGTTGCACTTAATTGTCAAAGTTGAAGTCTGTTTTACATTTCTCAATTTTAGTAGAAGTTTTATTAGAAGATGTAGGTTTCTGCAGGTAAGTCTAGTCTTGCCGGTGCTGTAATTTTACCAAGATTTAAACCTGGCTGCTTGACTTGTAGCCCCCAGACCCACGATGAAGTTACGTGGGATAACAAGTGGGCGTGTTACGCTTGTGCTGTTGCAGCTGGCTTTGTGTTTGTATTTTGGGTGTACTGTGAAT